TGGTACTTTTTAAAGCTGAGGGACAATTTTGGTACCAAAGTGATAAGTTGAGGGACTAAAATGGTACTTAAACCTAATTTTAAAAAGATGAATAAGTTGACGGAAGAAGCTCCCACATTTGCTTTCCATAAAGGTTAAAGCCCATTTTGGTCCCTGAACTATTGTATGGACCTCCGATTTGGTCCCTAAACTAAAAAAATTCTTGATTTGATCCCTACTGTTTACCATTTTAACCCCGATTTGGTCCTTCCATTAAATATCTGCCTACGTGTCTTATTACTTGACGGAGAAAAGGATGACATGTTAAAACATTTTGACACCTAGGATGTACAGCGTGGTAAAGAAATGAGATGGCAAAAAATTACTTTAAAAATTTTCTTTTTCTTTTTTTCTTTCTTTGTTTTTCTCTTTACCCTTTCTTCTTCCTCTCCCTTTCCTTTTCACCTTCTGCAAACCCTAACATTTCCTAATATTAAATCTGAGAATAACACAACAAATCAACAGATAGAAATCAATAGATCCTTCAATCCAACTGCAGTTGGGCTGGAAACAAAACCCAACGCTTACTAGGTCTGAAATCGAATTCAACACTTGTAAAAATATGAGGATAACATAACAAATAACAAATCCATAAATAGATCAAACTCAACAAATCCATCGACTCAACGACTGCTGAGTTTGAAACAGAACCCAACAGACAACAACAGATCAATAAACAAATGGAACTCAACTGATCCATTGACCCAACGGTTGCTGGGTTCGAAACGGAACCCAGTGCTTGCTGGGTTCGATTTCGAACCCAGCACCTGTAGGAACCCAGCGGCTGCTGGGTCCGATTGCTTGCTGGGTTCGAAATCGAACCCAGCACCTATGCCTTCCTCATCTTCATCCACCTGCAAAAACCCAACAGCTGCCTTGCCTACTTCATCTTCATCAATCAATTTCTCATATCATCAAACAACAAAACCCAACAAAGAAAACAGAAATTTCTTTTTTTTTTTTTGGAACCCAGGGCTGGGTCTGAAGGAACCCAACGCTTGGGTTTCATCGAACCCAGGCATGCTGGGAATCAAACCCAGGGGCTAGGTTCAGTGGAACCCAGGCGACGCCTGGGTTGCGTCCGACCTAGGCGACGCCTGGGTTCCGTCTGACCAAGGCGACGCCTGGGTTCCGTCCGACCAAGGCGACGCTTGGGTTCCGTCCAACCTAGGCGTAGGGGAAAGAGAAGGGGAAGGGGAAGGGGAAGGGGAAAGAAAAAAGAAAAGGGAAGGAAAAAGAAAAAAAAATTTAGTTTTAGTTTTTATAATATTTTTTTATATTATTATTTTTTCCATGTCAGCATTTTTTGGTCTTATTATCTTCCACATGTATTAATATTTTACATGTCATCATTTTCCCCATCAAGTAACAAGACACATAAGCGGATATTTAAGGAAGGAACAAATTGGGGTTAAAATGGTAAACAGTAGGGATCAAATCAGAAATTTTTTTAGTTTAGGGACCAAATTAAGAGTTCGTACAATAATTCAGGGACCAAAATGGAGTTTTAACCTTCCATAAATGGAGGGATAATTTTGGTGCAGAATTTAATAGTTGAGGACAAAAATAAAAGTGCAAAACTGGGTTGAGCATAAAATATTAAAATCAGTGCAAAAGTATCAAGTTCAGGGATCCTAAAAGGGTAATTAACCTTTTCTCTATGAAGTTAAAAATATAGTATACAAAACCTCCAGGTTCATCCTCTTCGCCGTCCGTGAATCCAGAAGGAAAACGCCTGGTTTTGACCTTCGTTGGTCCTGGTGAGTACCACGGTTATACGACCCCTGTTCATGTCAACATATTTCTGCATTTTCTTCCCTTTTTGGACCCCTGAATCCCTCGGATTTAGCCCCTAAATTCTGTAAAAATCTAGTGTGTTTAGTTGCTGGTTGTTTGTTAACTTTTTTTTCTTTTTTCAGCTTTTGTCCGCCAGAACCCTTGCTGCTCTGGTGAAGAATTTCTGTAACTCTCCTGCTGGAAAGCCTGCTGATTTGATCTTGTTGTGTCCTCTGTTAACGGTGAGTTCAGGGGGGTTTTTTCTTCCCCTTTTTCCTTGCTCGAATTTGCTGAAATTTCTGGGTTAAAATCTGTTCGTTTCTGCCCTGTTCTACTTCTCTTTTCTGGTCAGTATTTCCATTGTTCTTGCTTGAAAGCTGGGTAGTTGTTGATTGCGAGTTGAACCAGAAAATCAATGTTTGAATATTTTATTTAATGTGTTTTCCTTATTTTCCCGTACTTGTTTCTGCCCTGTTCAAGCACATGAATGGTGTGTTCTGCTTGGGAAAATTTTGTTTTATTGTGACACTTACTTTCCAGCTTAAGATGATTAGGTGATTTGGCTTGAATTCTGACAGCCTGACCTTGCATTAGTATTTTTGGCTGTAACTTTCTTTGTACATGTCTGATTGAGGTGATTCTTGGTGCTGTAGAAAGTTAAGAGATAGGGCTACAATTCACCTATTGAACATTCAGCCCAGTTTGCTTTTTTCTAAATGGCATCAAAAGAACAGTAAATAGTTTGAAATATGGTGGTTTTGTTTGCTGTTGAATTTTGGTTTTGGTATCTTGTGTATTGGTTGAGAAGTTTCTGAGAATAAGTTCAGAATTCTTTCTTGATCATTTGATTATTAGTGTGAGTTTTGGAAGTCTTGATCATTCAAGTTGTTGTTTGTCTTTGGTTGATAAGTTCCCAAGAGCAGCACCATGGTTTTCTAAGGTTATGAACATGGTTACTGGAGTTTGCATGATATGCTGATGAGTATGGAGCTATTTATTGATGCCTAATTTAAATTTTGGTTTTTTGTCTTCGGGTTGAGAAGCCCTGTGATCAGATACCAAATTTTTTTCTAATCTACAATTTTGCTAATTTAAACCATTTCTGATGTTATTTCTCATGGCATCATTAGCTCTTGATTTGACAGTCTATAAGTTTAATGTGATGTTTGTGAGTCTTTTGTTCCATTTTGGCTTATCTCAAGTTCAAAGTTACTTCTGATGTTGGTCCATGTCTTTGCCTTGTTTCATCTTAGTCATTTGATCTATGCTCCAATCATATATATTTGCGTGAGTTATATTCTGTAATTCTTTACTGATTTGTATGTTGTTTTCATGTCCAAGTTCAGTTTTTTTGCTGCCTTGTTTACTGTATTGTGCTTACAACTTCTGGTTTCAAGTGCATACATCCCAGTTTCCAAATTAATTCTCTTATTGTATTTTTAAGTCTGCTCCTGAGTCATTATGGTTCTAGATTTCTAGGTAAATCTGTTCATGAGGGTTATTTGTCTATTTTCCCAGCATTTTTGTTGGTTTTTTTACTATGAATTAGCCTGTCTTAAATAAGTGAATGTTACTGATATCTTTCCTAAGCACCCTACCTTAAACTTGTCAGGTCATTTATTTTGAAATCCACTTAAATGGTCACTTCAGCAGGGCCTCCCTCTCGAAGCTTTTGTTCATTTTGATCAAAGAAACTTTAACTAAAAATTGGATTTGTTAGGCTAATGAGGAACTTTGATTAAATGTCATAGTGCTTAAGATTGAATAAGGGATTTTAGATTAAATAAATAAATTGTAACTGGGAATGGGTACTAGTCAAAGTCTAGGTCAAGGTCA